TGGTAGAAATCAGTCTTATAAAAATAGTATCTAACTACAGAATATTGTCTGCTTTACTGCAATTGTTGAGAAATAAGAAATCCTGACAGTGTTCTGAGAGCCCTCTACCTTATGACAATGCCATGAGGTCTATACAGTTATTCTCCCCCACTTGTAGATGACAGAATTGAAGCAAAGAGGTGTTAATAATTTTTTTTTTAAGATTTTTATTGGGGAATTGGGGGATCTGAACAGTGCTGGGGAATTGGGGGAAGGGGAACAGACAAGTTGCTGTCCTTTTGTTCTTCAGTCTAGTTGTGGAGGACGTTGCTTCACTGGCCCAAGTTGGCACCATCATTGCGCTCTTCCCGGGCGAGGCAAATCAGTCGCCAGCTTCTGAACGGCCGCTCACTGCGGCTGCTGGCCGCTCACGCTGGCTGCTGGCTACATACGGTAGCCCATGGCAACCCACTGCCACAGGGGCTGCAGCCTATGCTGTCGCCGACAACTCATGGCATCCCAGCTCCAGGTTGAGCTGTTGTTCAGCATCTTAGCTGTAGAGGGCAGTGTCACTGGCCCTCATGTGGGATCCGAACTGGGGCCCTCTGGCGTCCCAAGCCAGCTCTTAACCAACGCGCCACTCGGCCGGCCCAGGTGTTAATAATTTATCTGAGATGACAGTGCTAGAGAATAGCCTAGTCAGGATTTCAACCCATGCATATTGACTCCAGAGCCTGTCCTTAGATTTTTTTTGTCTCAATTGACACCTTACCCAGCATAAGAATGACTGCTGTCAAAGCTACAGGCACACTGGTAATGGGCTCTCTGTGTATGGTTGGGCAGGGTGTTCTCTGAACTGCTACTGAAAGGGGCAGGGTGAGAATCTGGAAGGCCAAGTTCTGTCCAACAAGCTACAGGCAGCTGCCGCCACCCTGAGGACCAGGCACCTTTGCGAATTCACAGCAAGCAGCCATGTGGGTTAGTGACGTACTTGACCAATTTCCATTGACTTCTTTCTCCTTTTTCAGTCTGTCATCCTAGGACTCTGTTTCCCCAGAAGGCAAAAGAAAAACAAATGAACATGTTTAAGGTGAGTAGGGCTTGCCTTTTTTGCTTTAAAAAATGCTGTTTCAGTACTTGAAGATTGGACACAGTTTTTTTGTCTTTCAACAAGAGTCAAGGCTTTTGAGGAGCTGTTGAGTGTGTCAGGTGCTTGTTTTGTCCCGTTAAGTTTAATTGCCTTTGGTTTTAGTTTTTGTTTTATGTCTTCATTTTTTATCTTACAAATAAAAAAAAGTAATAGAAATGAAAAACATCTGCTTTACTATTTCCCTGCTTACAAATTAGCTTGAGTTTATATTTCCACTTTCCATCATATGTATTCATACTATGTATTGGTATTCAGAATATAGATACAACTTTAAATTAGTGTTTGCTTTTAATACTGTATAACATTCATTTTAAAGTGCTATATGATTTTCCTATCAAATTTATGTACATATTAAAGTATTCTCTTATTCATAGAAATTAATTTAGGATTTTTTACTGTTTTAGGAGCATTGCAGTATAGTTTTCCCGCATTTAACCTTTTTCTCAAACAATTCTGAAAAAATATTGCGTTTTCTGTCCTTAACATACTAGGTATTCAAAAGAAAAAGCGTGCTTTATATGTGGTACCTTGGATGTTTTTTGTACAATATTTAAATAGGGCGCGGTCCATCAGGGTCCAACTGCTGCTTCACACAGAAAAAAATATTGTTAGACATTTTCTCATTACAAGAGCTAGAGTTTGTCCCCGTGTGCCTGAGTCATAACCTGTGTGTAATTTATTGGTTTATTTTATTTCCTTCGTGAATTTTTCAAAATCAAAGTAACACATGACCTTAGTTTAAAAAGTTCACTGGTACTAGAGGACTTGTCGCTGCATTGAAACCTTAGGACAATTTTATGAAGAGGTCTTTGGTTTCATCTTCATTTTAAATATGAAGAAAGTAGTTTATGGGGCAGCCAGTTAGCTCAGTTGGGTAGAGCGCAGTGCTCATAACACCAAGGTTGTTGGTTTGATCCCCACATGGGCCACTGAGTTGCACCCTCCACAACTAGATTGAAACAACCACTTGACTTGGAGATGATGGGTCCTGGAAAAACACGCTGCACACTGTTCCCCAATAAAAATAAAAAAAAGAAAAAGTGGATTATGAAAAATGAGGAGGCCTCAGACTGAAACCTACCTTGCCAGCATCTTGAGCTTGGACTTAAAGCCTTCAGAACTGTGAAAAATAATTTCCTGTTGTTAAACCCACCAAGTCTGTGATAGTTTGTTATGGCAGCCTGATGAGACCAATACACTATTAACGTACATTTAAGGTTAAAAAAAGAAATAAGGAACCTGCTCAAGTTCACACAGAAAACTAAGTTAGAGTACTGTACTCACATAAAAGACAGAGATCGGAGGAAACAGTTTTTCATGCAGAGATCTGGCAAGCCATTTTGATTTATTTCTACATATAATGCTCCTCCTCACCTATTCCCACCTCAGTGGAAAGGTAGGTGCTAACAAACATTTTTGGCACTAAACTAGAACATGTGTCTGGGGTAATTAGCAATATTAACTAAAAAGTAGAACCTTTTTAGTCAGAATGCAGCAGTTGGAATTCCAGGGAGTTTACTAACCACAGTGCTCTGGAAGCACCAGGCAAACATACAAAGCTTCCTTTCTCAAAGTAGCACTTTTGGCGGGGGTGAGAAAATCTGTGTGGCATTGGCAGGATGAAGAAGGGCTGGGAGGTCTGCAAATTGCTCAGGGGCCAGAGCAACTTTCCATCCATCCTCTCCACCTTCTCAGTGCTGCCCCTGTTCCAGTGGACATGGGTGTAAAATTGAGGTTTGTGTGTGTTGTAGGAGGCAGTGACATTCAAGGACGTGGCTGTGGCCTTTACAGAAGAGGAGCTGGGACTGCTGGACTCTGCCCAGAGGAAGCTGTACCGGGATGTGATGGTAGAAAACTTCAGGAACCTGGTCTCAGTGGGTGAGGGCAGCCTCTCTCTGGAGTGTCTTTGTGACCATGGGGCTCTTGAGTTTGGGAATGAGACTTTCCCAATGCTTGTAGGACACAAGAGATAGAATGTCCCTGGTCTTTCTAAACAGGATGTTTCAGGTCTTTTTCATTTGTGTTTTGTGAAAAAGAAAAAAAAAACACCTATAAATGAACAGTATACTGCTGTACTTTATATTCTTTTTCATATTTACTCTTGTCCCATTAATGAATTAGAAAACCAATTTATTGAGTCCTACTAGCAATTTTTAATGAAATAAAATAGAATAGAAAATAGCAAAGCTCCTCAGGAAGAATACAGGGCACTGCAGCAAAAACTGGCCAATTGCATGAGTGGTGAACCGCTGGGAGGAGACCTAATGAAAATAGACATTGATTAGAAAAGGGGCACTTGACCACTGTTTTAGTAACATATTTATGTGTATATGTCTGGGTAATGAAACAAGTGCTATTTTTTTAATAGGGCTTGTAAAAAGTTTTTGGAAAACATTGCTTTCAATATCTTGAATTTGCAGTTAGAAGTCAAATTTCTAGTAAATTTCAACTCCAGTGTATTCATTTGAAACTTGTGACTTTGCATGTTCTCAGGACATCAACCCTTCAGACGAGACATATCACATGTAGAAAGAGAAGAGAGGCTTTGGATGATGAAGACATCACCCCAGATAGAGAGAAATTTAGGTCAAAACCAAGTAATTGTGAGTTCTCATAGTTAACTGTCCATTGATTTTGTTTCTCTCCACCGTTAGCCCCTCACCAAGTCCAAATCGCCAAATCTGTTTCCTGGATTATTGCAACTGCCTTCGTACTGGTTGCTTCCTTCCATCCTTGTCCTCCTATGATCTATTCTCTAAGTAGAAGCCAAAGTGACCCTTTGTAACCTTAAATCAGATTGTTATTCCTCTGCTCAAAATTCTCTTATTGTTTATTTTACTTAGAATAAAAACCACTTAAAGTGGTTTCTAGAGTCCTCTATGGTCTGCTGTTTGGAGCTTTATGGACCACTGTATGGTTTCTGTCAGTATGTAAACCAGAGAACTCCATATATAGTGAAAAAGATAAGCTGAACCATTCTGAGGTTCATTAAAGTCTTATGCTATGTCTTAAGTGTGAAATCTTGAATCTTTGAACAAAGCTTTCACTTGTCCATATCTCTGAATTCTCTGTCTATATAGGTGATAGCAATCAAAGTGAGTTGAGGACTGTTCAAGACAGAGGACCACATGAAGAGCTTTCCTGCTGGCAGATCTGGCAACAAATTGCAAATGACTTAACCAGGTGTCAAGACTCCATGATTAAAAGTTCTCAGTTCCACAAAAAAAGTGAATTGCTCGGTGAGGTTGGGGCAGGACTATCTTTTCAAATTTCTGAAGATGAGAACTATGTACTAAATTATAGAATGAACGGTCTCAGTGACATTGGAAATCCAGAGTTTCCAACTCTGAGAGCACAAGATTCTTGGAGGAAAACTTCCCTGACTGAGTCACAGAATTGCCAGAATAGATATCAGCAAATTTCCAGTGAAAATAAACTGTGTCCATGTAAACAGGATGTTGACACCATCAGCTGGATATCATATCACCTCAACGATCATGCAGTACACAGAAGTGAAAACTCTTATAGCAATAATGATTATAGAAGAGACATCATGAAAATTTCGACATTGGATCAGAATAGTACGATTCACACAGGACAAAAACTTGACCAGTGTAATGAGTGTAAAAAAACCTTCAGGGATCTCTCTGCCTTTGATGTTCATCAGAAATTACACTCAAAAGAGAAGTCTCAAAATTGCAGTGAGTGTGGAAAAAGCTTCTACTATACCTCAGTGCTCTGTATTCATCAGAGAGTTCACTTGAGAGAGAAATGCTGTAAGTGTGATGAGCGTGGTAAGGAATTCAGTCAGAGCTCACGTCTGCAAACCCATCAGAAAGTCCACACTGTAGAGAAACCATTCAAATGTGAGGAATGTGGGAAAGGCTTCAGTCGTAGATCAGCACTTACCATTCATGGTAAATTACACACGGGAGAGAAACCGTATAATTGTGAAGAGTGTGGGAGGGCCTTCAGTCAGGCCTCCCATCTTCAGGACCATCAGCGAGTCCACACTGGGGAGAAACCATTCAAATGTGATGCGTGTGGTAAGAGCTTCAGTCGGAATTCACATCTTCAATCCCATCAGAGAGTCCACACAGGAGAGAAACCTTATAAATGTGAGGAGTGTGGGAAGGGCTTCATTTGTAGCTCAAATCTATACATTCATCAGAGGGTCCACACAGGAGAAAAACCCTACAAATGTGAGGAATGTGGTAAAGGCTTTAGTCGGCCTTCAAGTCTCCAAGCCCATCAGGGAGTCCACACTGGAGAGAAATCATTCATATGTAATGTGTGTGGTAAAGGCTTTACTCTGAGTTCAAATCTTCAAGCACATCAGAGAGTCCATACTGGAGAGAAACCATACAAATGCGATGAATGTGGGAAGACCTTCAGGAGGAACTCCCATTATCAAGTTCATCTGGTAGTCCACACAGGAGAAAAACCCTATAAATGTGAGGTATGTGGAAAGGGCTTCAGTCAGAGTTCATATCTTCAAATCCATCAAAAGGCCCACAGTGTGGAGAAACCTTACAAGTGTGAGGAATGTGGGCAGGGCTTCAATCAGAGTTCACGACTTCAGATTCACCAGCTGATTCATACTGGGGAGAAACCATTCAAATGTGAAGAGTGTGGGAAGGGATTCAGCCGTAGAGCAGATCTTAAAATTCATTGCAGAATCCACACAGGAGAGAAACCGTATAATTGTGAGGAGTGTGGAAAGGTATTCCGGCAGGCCTCAAATCTTTTGGCCCATCAGAGAGTCCACAGTGGAGAAAAGCCATTCAAATGTGATGAGTGTGGAAAGAGCTTCGGGCGGAGTTCACACCTTCAAGCCCATCAAAAAGTCCACACTGGATTAAAGCCATACAGATGTGAAGAGTGTGGGAAGGGCTTCAAGTGGAGCTTGAATCTTGACATGCATCAGAGGGTCCACACAGGAGAAAAACCATATAAGTGTGGGGAGTGTGGTAAGCACTTCAGTCAGGCCTCAAGTCTTCAACTTCATCAGAGTGTCCACACGGGAGAGAAACCATACAAATGTGATGCGTGTGGTAAAGTCTTTAGTCGGTCTTCACAGCTACAGTCTCATCAGAGAGTTCACACAGGGGAGAAACCTTACAAGTGTGAGATATGTGGTAAGACCTTCAGTTGGAGATCAAATCTTACAATTCATCATAAAATTCATGCTGGTGATAAATCATATAAAAGTAATAGGGCTGGTAAGAACATGAGAGAGTGCACACAGGTAAAAAGTTTTATAAAATAATTAAAAAAAAATTCGAGTGTCATGTGAATTCTTCCAATCAAGTTTGAAAGAAAAATTTTTTTTCATTAAAGCAGTGTTTTAGTCCTAGCTTAACATATCCTGGTAGTCAGGAGGGCACACAGCAGAGAACCCTTGTAAGTAGCATAGTATGGGCTTCAGTTAGAAATTTGACCTTTATTAAATATTACTCAGAAGGAGGCCTTAGAAAGGGTAAGAGTTGTATCAGGCCTTCTACTAAAGTATCATGATGGACAAGCCAAAATTAATGCCCAGTAGAATGTAAGCTCTAAACACACAGACCTTTGTTCTGAATCCACATGGTCTTAACGTTGCCAGGTATTTCACAGGAACTCCATATTTGTTAAAGGGAAAAATTATATTTGAAAACTGTTGAGATCACCTCCAAAATTTCATAAAAATTTGTATTCAGAACAAGAAAGTGAAATGAAGCCTTAACAAAATCAATTCAGGGAGACAAAGTTGAAATGTTAGAAAACCATCCAAAACTGCAATGGAGAATTCTGTATTGCCCTGTGTGATTAGCTCCTGTTTTTTCCCCGATCTCTCATCCAGTTGGGTACTATCATCTTGGACTTTGTCTACTGTTCTACTGATTTTATACAGTATAAACTCGGTTTTTGTGACAATACACTTGACAGTAACAACATTACATGATTGGTTTTTTTCAAGAATGTCAAAGCAGGATTTTAAGTGTTACATTTACTAATGACAATTCTTCACAGCCAATGAAAGAGCTGCTCTTTCATTGGTAATGTTGGGTATTTACTGTTCACTCCCAATGTGCATGGCTTACTGACCCTAACTCCCATCTACACCAAATAACTAAACTTCTAGCTGTGTATCCAGTTTCACTCGCCTTTGTAGGTCATTCAGTTTCAGCTCCTGTTTGACACCATGGGCTCAAATTCTCTATTTTTGGCCTCTGAGGAATTTGCTTATCTTAGATTTGAGTGTGGCTACTTATTAATACTTTGGGGACTTGTTATATGTAATCAGCATTTTTTTTTTCTTTTAAGGGATATAACAGCAAATTCGGTTAGTGGCTGAATGGCAGCACATTGATTCACAACCTTGTAGATTCCCTTATGTCCTGGGACATCGATGGGAAGGAATAGAATACTGAAAAATTGAGGTGGCAATATATGACCAGATTCCAACAAAGCTAAGGCCTTTGACTTCTAAACTTAGGAGTCTCCTTTGCCATTAGAAGCCTTCCTCTCCTCTCTGTGTTAGTCTCCCCTTGCCTGAAGAACCTGTTATGACCTCCCCTGAGATAGTTTCCTTGCAGGGAACCGTAGATTCTCAAAACTTGGGTCTACCACCTCCCATTTTTCTAGACGCATTAATCAGATTCGAGTCATAGCAGGCCACAGGGAGGGAGGTTGGCTGGGGAAAGTCATCAGGTATAAATAAAGGATGACCATGAGGAGGTGCTATATACCTGCCAAAATCAGGATTTTTATAATTTATATCAATAGAAACTTAAGAAATATATGTGATTGTGAATCTTGTGAGTATTGACTCAAGTAGTACAATATGGGTTAGGCTGGATTTGTTGATACAGGTGCACTGAACATTTCTAGACCTGGACCCAAAGTTAGCTTGTGCCAAAGTCAAAATGCCAGAACTTTTTAAGTGTGTTGTAGGACAGCTGCTTGACAGCACTATTGACATTTTGGGTGAGATAATTCTTCAAAGTCAGGGACAATCCTGTGCATTGTAGGATGTTTAGCAGCATCTCTGCTCTCTACCCACTAGATGCCAGTAGCACATCCTTTCTCCCAAGTAACAATAAAAAATGTCAGTACTGCCAAGTGTCCCGGTGGGGAGGGGCAAAATTGTCCCCAAGTGAGCACTGTGGTAGAAGAAGGTATACAAAGACAGGAATGTCAGGCTACTGAAGTGCAAGACCTGCTCGCCCAACCCCCTATGTGCCCTGGGAGAGTTCAGAGGACACCCTTTACCAAAGATTTAAGAAATTCATTGGTGAGGGGAGCACTGGCCATCTTGCAGAGCTCTGTAGTTACTCTTCTCTGCAGACGAGAAATGAGGGATTAGGACATCAAAATGGGCTTCTTGAATTAAGTGAGCATGATGGGGTTCTGGGGCATCAGAGGTCAAGTGGAGGTACTTTCTTGACAGAGAAAGTGATTGTTATAATGAACAGCAAAGCCAAAGGGATCATCAGAAAGGTTTGGTTCACAGAAATTATTGCATTTGCCCATTGTGCTGTCCCTGGGGCTTAAATAGATGGGAAACATATTATCCTACTTGACTTCCATACGTGGAAAAGCTCTAGGTCTGGTGAACATAAGTCTGATGAATCAGTGTGAGAGTTGTGGCCCCTTAGCCAATTTCATAGCATTTAGTCAGTTCCCATTTCCAGAGCACCTTGAATGTGGGGCAGGCCAGGTCCCCTTGGACCCTGATATACTGCCAAAACTATGCCATAAATCACCTTAGACTTCTCAAAGTGACTTGCCGCCATATTTATTGGAGAGTGTGTATTAGGTAAGTGAAAATAACCAGAACAGTGAGGGATTACTGGATCCTAGAGCTAACATTAACTCCTGAAAACCCCCAAATAGCTCTGTGGTCTACCAGTTAGTAGAGGGGCTTATAAAGGACAAATAATAAACGTTCTCACTCAGGTTTATATATGGTGGTCTGAAGGATCCCCGAACCCATCTTGCGTTTATTTCCCAAGTTCCAGAATACAGAGTTGCAATAGAAATAGCTGGCAGAATCCTTACATTGGATCCCCGACCCATGGAACAAAGGCTCTTTCGATAAGAAAGGCAAGTAAACACTAGAATTGCCCCCCATGTACCAAAATAAAACCCCAAATCATATTCTTGGTGGATTACAGAGATTAGTGCCACTATCAGTATCTTGAAAGGCATGATTTCTATCACATTCCCATTCAAGTCACTCATTTGACCTATATGGAAGATAGGTAACTTAGAGAATGACATGGGGATATTGTAAACTTAATTAGGATTTAAGTCCAGTTGCAGCTCCAGATGTGGTTGTATTGCTGGAGCAAATCAACCCATCTGTCGGCAGTTGATGTGCAGCCATTGAGCCAACATGTACTTTTTTTCTCTATACTTAGTAAATATCATAAAAAGAAACTTAGTTTCATCTGGTACCATCAATACACCTTTATACCCCCAGTTCAGGGCTACATCAATTCCAACCCTCTTTCACATATTAGTCCAAGGATTGGCAAACGACGATCCATTGGTCAAATCTAGCTACCACTTGTTTTTGTAAATAAAGTTTTGTTGAAACATAGCCATGACCGCTCTTTGCATATTGTCCATGGGTGCTTTCATGTAAAATGACAGAGTTAGTAATTTGTGACAGAGATTATATGGCCTGTTGTTTACTATCTGACTACAAAAAAAAATTTTTTACCCAATACACACCTGATGATGAATGAAGTGTCTATTACCGGGATGCTGCATGGAGCTCACAACACTGATGTTTCGGATTTTGGAGCAACCTTATGTCATTCTTTGCAGATTACATAACTCCTGAGAAAGTAGCTTCTGGCTTATTTGGGCTCTAGTCAAAACTAAATACTTGGCCATGAGCCAGAAAGTTACTATGCAGGCAAGTCATAAATGTGGGCATTACCCACAGTACTTCATCAAGTGTAAGTGATACATATGAAGTCAATTAAGTTCGTGAACTCATCGTAGAAAAAGTGCTACATACCTCACTGCTGAATATTACTATGGTCACCATCAAAGTACTCCCCTTGGGAAGCTATGCACTGACACCAGCACCTAATCCACACTTCAAAGCAATTTTGGAGCTCTTTTTCTTGAATGGCAATCAGAGTTCTTGTCCCATTACCCTTGATGTCTTGAATGTCATTAAAATGTCTTCCTTTCACTATTTATCTTCAGATAAAGAAGTAATTGAGGGCCAGATCAGGTGAGCAGGGAGGGTGTTCCAATACAGTTATTTGTTTGCTGGCTAAAAGCTCCCTCATAGATAGTGCCGTGTGAGCTTATACATTGTCGTGATGCAAGAGCCATGAATTGTTGGCAAAAAGTTCAGGTCTTCTAACTTTTTCACGTAGCCTTTTTAGCACTTCCAAATAATAAATTTAGTTAACTGTCCAGTTGGTACAAATTCATAATGAATAATCCACTGAAGTAAAAAAAAAATGTTAGCAACATCTTTGCAAGAAGTTCACAGACATAATTGTCAGACCTCTTATGACACAACTCAAATTGAAGTTGCAAGTAAGTTGCATGAGCAAGTGGTTCAGATTCTGTTAGTATATACTTTTAAGACCCTACATTTTCTTCTAAGTATGTATGAAAATTGCATGTTATGATTGTGAATTTTTTTCCTAGTTCTGTCCATTTTCTTTTTTAAAGTTTGCCTTGTATTTTGTGAAGCTGTTATTCATATATATATATATATATATATATATATATATATATATATATATATGGGGAATTCATATATATATATGGGGAATTATATATATATATATATTCATATATATATAATTGGGGAATTAGGGAAGGGGACCAACCAAGTTGTTGTTCTTTAATCTTAGTTGTGAAGGGCGCCGGTTGCCATTTGGATGCCCATCGTCAGCTCGTGGCCTCCGAGCTCAAGGTGCTGTGTTCAATCTTAGTTGCAGGTGGGCGTAGCCACCATTCCATGTGGGAGTCGAACCAGCAGCCTGGTTGATAAGAGCGCATGCTGTATCCACTGAGCCATCCAGGCAGCAGCTCAGCTCCAAGTGCTGAGTTCAGTCTTAGTTGCGGGCGGGTGTAGCCCACCATTGAACCTACCATTAAACAGGCAGTCTTGTTGTTAGGAGCACGTGCTCTCACCAGCTGAGCCATCCTGCCACCTGTTAGCAGCTCAGCTCAGGCGCAGCATCACTGGCCCATGTGGGAATCGAACCGGTGGCCCTGCTGCTCAGAGCTTGCGCTCTTAAGCTAACTCTTAACCACCTGAGCTACTCGGCTGGCCCCAAGCTGTTATTATTTATAATTTAAAAGTAATTACTATGTTTCTTTTTATATCTTATAATGCTTCATTCAAAGACCACTTTGTCCAACATTAATATATACTTTAAATTATATAAATAACCTGAAGTCTAGGAAGATGGTCTCTCTAGAGAGGTTTTGCATTTGTTCCTGTTATGTGCTTGAAGATACTAACAAAGATGATTCCCTCTAATCCAGTGTCAGGTGCTGAGGGAGTTTTCCATCTCTAAAGGACAATCCATTTCCCTTTTATTCTTGCTCCTATAGGGGCAGCTGTTTGGGGTTTTACCAGGGATTTTTCTGGACCCAGACGTCCTCTGAGCCCCCTGAACGTGGCTAACATGTTCAGCTTTCAATAACAGAACCGGTAGGTGCCAACAAAGTAGACACTGCCACTCAAAAATGGCACGATTTTGCAAAGGTTCCCTCTGGCTTTCTAGAAATTACTACTCGGAAGCTCAGAGTAGTCCGAGATATTTCCGCTCCCGGGGGCGGGCTATGGCCTCGTTTCTCTAGGACGTTCTGGGAAGTGTAGTCTGGGGTAGTGTAGCCAGGAGCACTTCCGCTTCTGGCCAGCAGTGCTAGGGAATTTTGGGAAGTGGTCCAGGGCTCTGTGATACTTTTGATTGTAGGAGGGCAAGACTATACCGTCTTGGATAGCCTGAGCCCCTCCAAGCCTGGGACCGCCCAAGCCACAGCCAGATGAGGAGCACGGGGTTGGGAGACTTTTGCGTTCCCTTCCCTTAACCTCTCGTTTGGAGCGGTTCTTGCTCCTCGGGTTGGAGGCATCCCGGGTCGCGTACGCCTGATTTGAAGGTCTCTTGGCGCTCCTCAGCTGGCTTCCCTTACCCACCAGTCAGCTCTGACACTTCCTAGAGTAACATTATGAGAGTTACTTAATCTCTCTTGGTTTCATTATCCTCGTCTCCAAAGTAATGCCATCATTAGTACTCCCTTATGATTTTATACGAATTAATTCATTAAACGACCGCAACAGTCTTATGAGGTAGGTGCTACTATTAGCCTTTGTTTTTTAACAGATAAGGAAATGGAGGTAGTATTAGAGAGATAAGACATCCTATCAACACAGAAAGCCCTCTCTACACAATGTAGAAAAGACAGCCATCTTATTCCTGAATACGCATATCAGAGTACAGTATTGTAAGTAATTTCTTCCTATTTATGTAGTCAAACAATTATAAACTTTTTATAGCATTCTATTTTTAACCAATAGGTACATAACATTCTCAAGATGAGCGGCGGAATCTTGTCTTCCTGTAAGAGGACTTGACTACCCCATTTGCTGCAAACACTTTGATAAATTCATTCTAAATTTACTTTGAATCAAGTCTTAGTTCATTGATTTAATCCGTAGGTAAATAATAAAATTTATCTTCTTTCCCCCGCTAGCAGATTTACAGATAAAGGCACCTAGGTTAAACTCCCACAATGATAGGGACAGTATCATTTTCTCAGATATTTACATTCAAAAAGGACAAACCTCAGACATTTGAAAACACTTCTGGGTTGTAAGCTTGGCAAGAGGCTTACTTGGCCTCTAATAAGATTTATGTGCATATGAAAAGGTTAGGGAAAGGGTAAACAAGCACGAGGTTTCTTTTGGAAATGCTCTATGAAAAGGGGAAAAGGTGGGCCGGCTGAGTGGCTCAGTTGGTTAAGAGCTCACTCAAGAGTTTGAGCTCTGAGCAACAGCGGTTCGAGTCAGCCTGAGCTGAGCAGCCGTGAGCTGCCAACAGGTGGCGGGATGGCTCAGCTAAAAAAAAAAAAAAGGGGGAAAAGGAAAATGGATTCTTTAGACAAGGAAAACTCTTTTTTGTTTTCATTTACTGTTGATAAGTTTATGTTGTTTGCCCAAGATTTACAGCTAGTAAGAGCAGAACTGCCATTTGAACCCAAGGATTTTGAGCCTCAAGTGTGAGTTTTTAATCTCTATGCTGTACATTTTTTTAATCATACGAAATAGTTGTGTATATGGTTTGAGGAAGCTTTTTCTATCAGGTTTAGAAGGTGATTTGGGGCTTTATAGTTTATATTTTCATTATAGAAGGAATGCATGCACATTATAGAGAGATTAGGAAATACAGAAATACAAAAAGGAAAGAATTGAAATTACCCATAATCTCAGGATTTAGAGATAAACCACTGCTAACATTTTTCATGGATTGGTGCTGTGTTACACATATTTTTTCCTTAAAGTTTTATTTTTATTTTTTAAAGATTTTATTGGGGAATTGGGGGGAGGGGAACAGCGTTGGGGAATCGGGGAAGGGCAATGGACAGGTAGACAAATTGCTGGGGTTTTTTTGTTCTTCATTCTATTTGTGGAGGACGTTGCTTCACTGGCCCATGTTGGTATGATCATTGTGCTGTTCCAGGGTGAGGCAATCGGTCGCCGGTCATTGGTCGGCCGCTCCCAGCAGCTCCCAGCAGCTCACACTGGCTGCTGGCTGCTCACGCTGGCTGCCAGTCACTCACAGTAGCTTATGGCAGCCCACTGCAGCAGGGGCTGCAGCCTATGCCATCGCCGGCGACTCACAGCAGCCCAGCTCCAGGTTGAGCTGTTGTTCATCATCTTAGCTGGAGAGGTCAAGCATCACTGGCCCTCAATGTGAGATCAGAACCACAGCCCTGCTGCTCAGAGCTGGCACTCCCAAGCGAGCTCTTAACCAGCTGAGCCACTTGGCCAGTCCTCCTTAAAGTTTTATGATGGAAATACCCAAACATATGCAAACAGAGAAAATTGTGTAATGAAACTGCTCCCCACTCCCAGCCTTCACTCATCTGCAACACTGTCACTATTTTGTCTATCTTATTGCATCAATTCTTCTTCTCACACAAAATACTTATTGGGATGGGAGTCAAACTTGGGGAGGAGGAGCTGTAATATTTTAAACCAAAACTAAATCCCAGTCATGGACTCAGTAGAATTTAAAAGCTATTAACATAAATTGATTATATTGGGAAAGCAAATGGGTTAACTTCAGAGTTTTCATTCCTGGCAACTAGGAGGTTGGTAGTTATGTGAGAAAGCTAAGGGACACAAAAACATTGAGATTTGGACAGGAATAATTATAAATTTGGGTTTTTTATTTGGAATTTGACTTGGCACAATCTTCTAGATCTTGATTTGCGATCTGTTTCTTCCATAGGCTGCATGCTACTTTGTTGCAGGAAGTATGTTTCATTCTTTACAGTTTGCTTAGCACCCAGCCAAAGACTAGGAGAGAGAAGTTCTTCAGTGTTTGAGGCTGGTATGATACAGGGGCCTGCAGCTCAGTTAGATTGTATTCAGAATTCCTGAAATGGATTTAGGAAACAATAGAAGGGAATAATATAGACTTAGTGATTCTTGATCTCACTTTCAGTGGGATGCAGAATCTACTGGGTTTTTTTCACAGCATTCAAATTCAATGTAATTATTGATAATACCTATTTTAATGACTTAAAGCATACTTATTTAGACATGAACCATCCCTAATTTATGTGTCCAGTGTTTCTCACCTGAGGATACTGTTTCCTACCTTTTTATAGGGCAGTCATGAGTTTGAGTTTCTAGTGCTTTCATGTCTACTTGTTCATTTGTTCCTTACATGAATCCTATTAGTTATCTCCATTGTAAAAATGAAGAAAAAAGGGACAGAGTTCATAGAGTAAGTGAAAGAATTAGTACTATAACCTTGGCAGCCAATTCCAAGTCTGTAATCTTGGTTATTACACATTGCTTTTACTAGTCTACAAAACAACAACCATAGAAGTCTTACTGGACCAGGAAATTTTTAAGCTATGGATGAAGACTATGACCTAGAAGAGGAAAGAGCAGCAGGATGTGGCAGAAGGAACCTGGGTGGACATGTAGAGTGGAAAATGGATTTGAAGAGGGAAATTTCACGCAAATGGGAACGAAAATAAAAGCTGGGTAGCAATACTTACATCGGACAAAATAGACTTTAAAATGAAGACTATAATAAAAGACAAAGAAGGGCACTACATAATAATAAAGGGATCGATTCAACAAGAGGACATAACCCTAGTAAACATCTATGCGCTAATATAGGAGCACCTAAATATATAAAACAGATATTGACTGACATAAAGACAGAGATCAACAGTAACACAATCATAGTAGAGGGCTTCAACACCCTGCTGTCACCAATGGCCAGATCCTCCAGACAGAAAACCAACATGGAAACAGTGGCCTTAAATGACACATTGACCACATGGGTTTAATTGATATTTTTAGAGCATTTCACCCAAAAGCAACAGAATATACATTCTTTTCAAGTGAAGAGGGAACCAGCATATGGAAGATTCCTGTGTGTGTGACTTGCTAAAACATTTGTTCCTTCTCATAAGGGCACAAGATAGACATACAGGTGAAAATAATTGAATTTCCATGTTAGGATATATCTCTCTGGCAACACCGAGGAAAATAAATTGATTGAAGTTAAATATTCTGTTCATGTTGATGAAACAAGATGTGGTTAATATAGTGGGTAGCACTCAGGTCCTGGTCATCAAACACCACATTTTGAAACATGGCGCTAGCACGTACAGTAATGTGGGCAAATTACTTAACCTCTCTCTGTCTCTGCCTCCTAAACTGTAAAGTAGCGGAAACAATGGTACTTACTTAAAAAAAAGTTGTGAAGATGAAGTGTCTTAAGAGTGGAATTGTCCCTGGCACACAATACATGCTCCGTAAGAGATAGCTGTGTGTATCAGAATAAGGGAACTGTGTTCAGTAAATAAGAAATGCAAACATGTATCATGTGTATTTGTGGATATAAGTCTTTATAGTGACCATGCTTAAACATCTAATTAACAATGTGTTCGTCTTTCAAATTCATAAATTGCTTGAGGCATGATTTCAATGGCCCCTATTGCTTTGAGAAGTTGATCATACAAGTCTATGCTGAGGCTGGGCTTTTCACTCTGAGTTTGTCTAGTTGTCCTAAACAGGCAAGTTGTTCTGACTTGTGCTATTAACAAAAGTGGAAATCTATAATTCTGCCTCCATTACATTTTTTTTTGTCTTTCATTCCTTTTATATCCAAACAAGTGTCTGAAACTGCACAATAATGGCTATCATTTTTTTCCTTTCTCGGGTAGTAGTGGATACAGGTCTATCAGTAAAGCATCAAACGCTATTTCTCACAAGACTGACTTCAAATATTTACTATTATGTTTCGTCAATGAAAAAAAACCAGGCTCTCCTGGCGTCGGAGAAATGCTTGGAGGCCGGCAAAATGGCGGAAAGCCACTGAAGGGATGTGTGGAAGTTGTAAGCTTGTAGGCCGGGAATTCCGAGAGTTTTGCGATTATTTTATTGTTTATTTTTAATAGATCTAACGGGGCTGACACGGCTTTTCCTCCTCTTCGAGGTTCTGGACAATATATTCCCACCTCTGTCCGGAAACAAGGGGCTTCTGGGAAGTGTAGTTCCGGGGGGTACCGAGTAGTCGAAGGCACTTCCGCCCCGGGGAAGCGAGGTCATCACCGAATTTTCTGTCCGGGAGGTGAGTCAGCCCTGCGCCCCCACGACCCCTCCGAGCCTTTTCGGCCTGACAGTGGGACTGGTCGCTCCCTAGCCGGCTGTCTTAGCATGGAGGCGTCGCGGCCGCCGGCGGAGGCTGAGAGGCGGAGGGCGGAAGCTCTCCTCCCCCGCTTACCAAGCAGCGCTGCTACTTCCATCGGTACAATCCATGGCGAGTTGTTCATTATCTCTGCGCTCTACTTTCCTCTTCCGTAAAATAGCGAGAGAGAGAGAGAGAGAGAGCAGTTACTGGGAGGGTTGTGATTCGAGTTAAACGAGACAATACGTGTCCAAAGTTTAGGAAGGTGGTGGCACATGAATTGGCTTTGCTATGGGTACAGTGAATTCCCTCACCGGCGTCCTTTTGATTAGAAGTCCGAGTGAAGACAGAGGTTAGGGCTATAGGAGCAAGGCCATGGCCCTTCTGCCATCCTTCCGGAAACAGAGCTGCTCCCGAGCTTGACTGAGTTTTTATCTCTTTTTTTAGGAAACACTGAATCACCCCGCGCTAGTGCCTGGGGATGCCCTCCGCCCCTGCGGGTTATCCCGGAGACAGACATAATCGTGCTGTCCCAATGCATCCTTTTCTTCACCATTCCTGAATTCGGAAAGGAGAGGAAGAAGGGACTTCGTGGCTTTTCACAGGATAGCCCCAGGTACATAGTATTCAAAGTGCTTTCCTGGTCTGTTTTCGGATAATCACGTTTCCTTCACTCAGTAAATTACTGCTAGGAAAATGTTCAAATATTTGTTGAATTAAACCCGAAAATGTTTAATCTGTTTCTTAATATGTGTGTATTTCTACCCCCCCATATTTTTTTAAATACATATTTATTTTTGAATTTACTGTGCTTTACGTCTCTTTTTGTTGTTGCTTTCTTGTCTTCAGTTTAGTTCCCTTTTATTTGCTCTCAACTAGTTTGGAAATTATATGGGCTTGTGGTATTCTTTTAATTTTTATAAATGATTATCTGTCTCAACAAATAGTAAATTAAGTCATTGTGTAGTCTCATTCTGAAAAATATAGAGACTAAAAATATATTTGAAATTTGATGATGGCTCCCCACCACCACCACTGTTTCTAAACTGTAGGCTGTTATAGATATACTTTTTTTTTTTTTTTTTTTAAAGATTTTTATTGGGTAATTGGGGAGATGGGAACAGTGCTGGGGAATTAGGGGAAGGGGAACAGACAAGTTGCTGTCGTTTTGTTCTTCAGTCTAGTTGTGGAGGACGCTGCTTCACTGGCCCAAGTTGGCACCATCATTGCGCTCTTCCCTGGCGAGGCAGATCAGTCGCCGGCTTCTGGACGGCCGCTCACTGCGGCTGCTGGCCGCTCACGCTGGCTGCTGGCCGCTCACGCTGGCTGCTGGCTACACACGGTAGCCCATGGCAACCCACTGCCACAGGGACTGCAGCCTATGCCGTCGCCAGCAACTCACGGCAGCCCAGCTCCAGGTTGAGCTGTTGTTCAGCATCTTAGCTGTAGAGGGCAGTGTCACTGGCCCTCATATGTGGGATCCGAACCGGGGCCCTCTGGCATCCCAAGCGAGTTCTTAACCATTGCGCCACTCGGCCGGCCCATAGATATACTTTTTATTGTAACCACTATCCAAATTTGTCATATTGTTTTGGGGCTTTTGTTCTTAAAGAAAGATATTACCAAACATATTTACAAACTTTTTTTTTTTTAAGGTTTTATTGGGGAACTGGGGGAAGGGAAACAGACAAGTTGCTGTCCTTTTGTTCTTCAGTCTAGTTGTGGAGGATGTTGCTTCACTGGCCCATGTTGGTATTATCACTGTGCTCTTCCTGGCTGAGGCAGTTGCTCACGGGCCATTGGACGGCCTCTCATGGTGGCTCATGAAACCTCATGCCCGCTGCCGGCCAGCCCCACTGCCGCCTACCCGTCGCCGGCGACTCATGGTGGCCCAGCTCCAGGTCGAGCTGCTGTTCACCATCTTAGCTGTAGAGGGCACAGCGTCACTGGTCCTCAAGTGGGATCCAAACCGGGGCCCTGCTGCTCAGAGCTGGCGTCCCAAGCCAACTCCTAACCAGCGTGCCACTCGGCTGGCCATGCAGCTCATTCTTGAAATAAGACTTTGCCATTGTTTTCCATTCTATTCTTCTCATACTCCTTAGACAAATGTTGGGGGGCTCTCAAGCTATCCTCCAAGTTTCTTGGTTTTTCTTTTGTATCTTTCTCTTTGCCATGTGTTTTTCTTTTTCTTCATGGACTTAGGATGAAAGGCTTTTACAAAGAAGCCTTTTCTGGCTTCATGAAGTAAACTGACCCAAAATGACACTTTTTAGAAAGCTAATACCAATGTCAATAAAATTTTATTAGCTGGGCAACGTGTTAGTAAGTAAGAAGAAATTTTAAGTTAGCATTAGGGCTTTTCAGAGATTACGGGTGACTTTCATAGGAGAGCAATCATAAATGAAGTCCAGGTCCCTTTCAGGTCTTTTTAGTTGTTGAAAAGACATTTTAAAATACAGATGCTCTCCGTCTTAACAATAAATAGTTCGACTTAACTTTTTGACTTGACAGTGGTTCGAAAGTGATACGCATTCAGTAGAAACTGTACTTTTCCTGAGCAGTATGTGGTCTGATCCTCTCATGATGCTTGGCTGCAGCTGTGGGCTACAGCTCTCAGTCAGCATGAGGGCAAACAATTGATCCTCTATAATGTACTGTGTTGCCAGCAGTTTTTTGGATATTGTGTTTATGTTCGCACATCCCATCATGTCTACAAAATGCCCATCTTGTCTCCTGTGTCTGGTGGGAGGAAGCAGAGAAAGGCAATGACTCTTGAAATGAAACTCAAGATAATCGCCCACCCGTAGGCTAATGTAAGTGTTCTGAGCTTGTTTAAGGTAGGTGAGGCTAAGCGCTGATGTTCAGTAGGCTAGGTGTTCTAAGTGCATTTTCAACGTAGACAATGGGTGTTTTAGGACATAACCTCCTCTTAAGTGAAAGAGCATCTGTACAGTTTAGAATGCAATGTATTATCTGCTTTTTTGCAGCTACAGGAAAAAGGGACTCCTGGTTCTTAGAACTTTCCATTCACTCATTTAGTCCTTGGAATAGCCTGATGAGGTGCGTATGATTTAGGAGCCTTATCATATCCTTATTGTGCAGATGGCCAAAGTGAGGCACAGGGAGAGTTTAATACCCCAGACGTTACACAGATGGTAAGTATCATTTTTCCAGGACTGAAACCTAAGCCTCCGACTCCAGAGCCCACTTTGTTTTTTTAACCCACGTGTTGTTACAGTGCCTCTCATTTCCTGCTATCCCCGGGACAGGGATACTGCACTTTACTATGCAGGCTGTTCATTGTCCAGTGGTCCCTTGCTGACAAACCTGTTAGTAGCTGGAGTCTCTTCTGTGCTCGCCTTACCAAGCTGTATGTGGCTGCATGTTCCTGGAAGCAGGAGGGCTCTTGTGTAATTTCTGCAAAGATCCACATGGGCTCATGGCCTGCGTCTCATGGCTTCTTTGTCTGTCTCCAGTTCTGCCTTCTCAGGACTCTGACCTTCCCCAGAAGGAACAGAAGAAAATGACCAAGTTTCAGGTAAGTAACGCATTCCTTTCTGCCTCCTAAGATGTGATTTTATTTCTCACAGATTAGGCCTATTTTTTTTTCTCTTTCTTAGAAAGGTTAATGGAAGACAACAGACCTTGAGTGCGTGTTGTGTGCCAGACTGTGTGTATGCGTGTGTGGTTTGTTTGTTTTATTTTATCTTTATTATTTCACAAAACAACCTTTGAAAAAACAATAGAAATCTGAAATGGACAAAAAATTTACACTACTACCCTGCTTACAAACTAGCTCTTTCACTTTCTCATATCCCTGTTTCACGTGCATTCATAACTATATATTAGGAATATTAGAATTGATGGGAGGGCCGGCCGAGTGGCTCAGTTGGTTAAGAGCTCGCTCAAGAGTTTGAGCTCTGAGCAACAGCGGTTCGAGTCC